GGTGGTGGTGGTGGTGTGGGTGTTGTTGTTGTCGTCGTTGTTATTGTTGCTGCTCTGCTGCTGTTGTTGGTGGTGAACTCTCAGTACTGAAGAATGATTTTTGTTGATCCCGCGCGCTCGTGCTAGAAAGTGTGCCGTTCGCGCTAGAACAAACAATTGCCCCAAGACTCCCGGACCACGAGGGCCCCTGGTTCCTTGGGCCCACTTGGGCCGTGACTGGTAAGTTCTGTGGTTGTTCCAAAACGGGAACATGATACGGAGCCCCAATCACCACATCCATCACGACTGGCCTATGTGGACTGCTAGGGCAGCCCACTAAAACCTTGGGCTCCTTCAGGTAGCGTTCGACACAGTAGGATCTCAAGAAGAGATCAAGAGTGCAACGGCACCCCCGTTTAGGTAGCTCTCCGCCAGCGCAGTTATTCTGCCTAGCCGCCGACGCAAAAAGTTTCAGGCTGCTGCGCCCGCTGCCGCACCTCCTGCTTCCGAAGCAGCCGGCGCACGGCGTCGCTGCGCGCTCTCCTCTTCCGGTGGCTATAGGAGCCATTGCCTGCGCTCGTTCTGTCTCTCTCTGTGCGGTTGGCGACGTCTTTTTCGTGGACTGCAGCTGCTCCGTCGGCAATCTGGCACACTCGGCGCCCGCTCGGACTGAACAAGAAGACCCAGTCCTCCATCGTACTCCTCCCCGTTCTCCACTTCGGTGGTCAGGGTGAAGGGCAGGAGCAGGAAAGGACCTCTGCGCTGTCCGAGTAGTTGCTTAGATGCCAGAAGGAATAGGAGGGTGAGTGCAAGGGGCATGGATGCCAGTTTAGCCTCTAGCCTCCAGTCCCGCTTTCAATGACGCAAGTTGCTTCCTCTCTGTATGTGTGGCCATGCCGAATATTCCCAGCTAAACCTCCCTTCGAAGGGTTAGGAGGAGGTTGTAATAACCAACTCGTTGAATCACCTAAGTACAGCCTGCGGGTCTATTTTAGTTATGCGGGCAATCATATTCGCAACATGATGAATTGTGTGGTTAGCCGTCGGGATGAAATCAACTCTTCATCTTATTTTTTGTCCCTCCTTCTTCGTCATCCTACTCCGGGTTCCTTCTCTCCTCTCTCTCTCTCTGCCTCTGCAGTCTTCTTTATGTGCGAGGAAGGCCAACGTGAATTGGTACTATGTTCTTAGCATGAACGGGCTATGTATTTCGAGCGCAGAGGAGGTTGCAGTGCTAACATGCTCGCTGTGTTTTCCCCTGTGTGCACTCTTCTGTCTTTGGCGACCAGTCTGTGCGTGCACTCCCCTCCCGTGGTCCGCGACGGCCCTCGCTCCACTTCTGTCACACTCGTTCGAGGTTGTTTCTGCCAACGTCTTCGGCCCGGTTGTGCGCTTCGAGCGGGAACTTGTTTCACCAGCAGATGGCCCGTGAGTTCTTACACATGTGCGGCATTCACCTTCCACGCACGGTGGGTTGCGAGGAGGAAGGAGAAGATGAGGTGGAGGATAAGGAGGATAGGAGTACGTGGGGATGGCGACTCCCACTCGCGAGGTGGTTTATCGAACGGCGCTGTTCTGAAGGGAATTATCAAGTCCTACAACAGGCCCCCCTGCCACGCTGCGACAGCCAGGCTTTCGGCCCTTGTCATGCATGGTGTGTTGGGCAACGTCAGGGCCAGGTGATGTAAGCCCGATGCAGGTGGGCCGACAGGACCAGCGTCTTGCGAGGCAAGCTGGGCTGACGGGGAGAGGAACTGGGCCAGGGTGGTTTCAGGGTGGAATGAGGCGAGATGCGCTCACTCTTGAACCATCGCAGGCTGCGCTTGCATGTTGAGGCCCGATGCCCAGGACTCCGCATCACCAGCGCCAGCCTTCGGCGCAGACTATACCGAGAGGCTCGGTGGGAGGGATTGGGGTCTGTTCATCAAGATTTTTTGCGAACGTGATCGGTGCTTATCGAGCCATCGACTCGCTGCACCACGTGTTGCCCACTAGAACAGCACAGAACAGCGTTTTAGTCATCAGTGCGGGCCAACATGCCCCCCGCTGCCCACTCTTTGCTTCCCTTCTTCCCCACCCGCTCCTGGCCTCCTCCCACTCCTCCTCCTCCTCTTCCTCGGCGCGCCCCCGTGGCATGGGCACTCCCCCCTTGCTGGTGGCCAGGATGATGGCTGCGAGAGAAAGATCATGGGTGGGGACTGGGGAGGGGCATTTCAAGACCATGGACGGGTGCGACAACGAACCGTAGCGCGAACACCACAGCTGTTTGGCTTACTGCACCGCCGCCCACAACCATATCCCACTTCTTTCCTTTGTTTATCCGTAAGGGCTTCGCCCCCTGCCGCCGGCCCCCTCTCTATCATAATGTGATACATCAGAGCTATATTGGGATGTTCGGGCGCCGTCTTGATGACATTCGGGAACGTCATGTTAGGGCGGCTGGCGATGAGCAAAACAGATTGAGATGTTGAAGTTGTTGTTGAACGCTTTGTTGCCTTCTTGGCATTTTCCTCCAGTTGTTCACTGGAAGCGCTCTGGGAACGGCTGGGGATTGCTTCAGGCAATCTCTGGGAAGGTTATTGTTTTCTGCTCTGGAGAAGGAGTGGCGCCTTTGGGCAGCTTCCGCGAGGTGGATTCGTAGCGTGGGGGGTGCGCGCGAATTTGGTGTAATTTGCGGAGGATCGTGGCCTCGGGGACGCGAAGGTGGTGTAATTTACGAGGGACCGTGGCCTGGGGGGCGCGACAAAGGCGTAAGTTACGAGGGATCGTTGCTTCGGTGGCGCGAATGTGGCGTAATTCACGCGGGATAGTTGCCTCGGGGGCGCAAATGTGGCGCAACTTACGAGGGATCGTGGCCTGGGGGGGGGTGAATGTGGAACCCACCGCCGAGGGGGGGGGCAAAAAAATACAGCGGAGCACATATCCCAAAACAGAAAATTACCGTTTTTCTGCTTTGGGGAGGGGGAGCGACTTTTCGGCAGCCTCCGCAAGGCGGATTCGTGGCCTCGGGGGCGCGCCCGCTGCGTAATTTCCGAGGGATCGTGGCGTCAGGGGCGCGAATTCGAAGTAATTTAGGAAGGATCGTGGCCTCGGGGGCGCGAACATTATGTAAATTACATGGGACCGTGGCTTCGGGGGCGCGAATGGCGTAACTTACGAAGGATCGTGGCCTCGAGGGCGCGAATGTGGAGTAATTTGCGAGGGATCGTGGCCTCGGAGACGCAAATGAAATGTAAATTACGAGGGATCGTGGCCTCGGAGACGCGAATGTGGTGTAATTTACAAGGGATCGTGGCCTCGGGGGCGCGAATAAAGAGTAATTTGCAAGGGTTTCTGGCTTCGGGGGCACGAAACTTCCGTATTTTCATGTGTCCCACGCCCCCCCCAGAAATTCTGAGAACCCTCCCGGGGGACGCTAACCAGGCTGGTTTTCGGCTCCCCCCCTTCTCGCGGGCAGTAACAATGTACAGTAGGAAACAGAAAGCATTACTGTAACAATGGAAACTGGAAATTGGAACTGGTGCAGGGAGCAGCAACCTTAATCCTCGCAGCCTGATGGCCCCGCAAGGGGGCCGGCGGATCCTCCACTGTTTAGTCTCAGTGCCGTCGCCGTGTCGTCGTCCCCCTCCCCCGCCCAGGGGCCGCTAGAGGACATCGGTACTCCGCGCCGTTGGGGGGCTTCTCTGCCCCCATGGTCCCTCTTCCCGTTGTTTATTCCTACAGGCACCCTAGTTTGATCACACCCCAGGGCGACCGGCTGTCGGGGGGGATGGAACCGTCCAGCCAAGGACTCCAATGCCTACAGCCTGAGCCCGAGGACGAGGAAGAGGAGGAGGGGGAGGAGAAGGAGGAGGCAGAAGATGAGGAGACGGGAGTGGGAGTAGGAGGAAGGATGTGGAGGAGCAGGACGACGCGGAGGAGGAGGAGGAGGAGGAGGAGGAGGAGGAGGAGGAGGAGGAGGAGGAGGAGGAGGAGGAGTGATGTGGAGGAGTGATTTGGAGGAGTGATGTGGAGGGAGGAGGGAGGAGGAGGAGGAGGAAGGAGGAGGAGGAGGAGGAGGAGGAGGAGGAGGAGGAGGACGAGGAGGATGGAGGAGCTGGAGCAAGGGGGATGGAGGCGCGAGCAGTGAGGCGCGAATGGCGGCGCAAGGGACACCACGCCGTGGTGCGCCCCCCCCGGCTGCCTCCCGCCGGCGCTGCCCGCCCTGCAAGGTCGACTGGCTATGGCTTCGTGAACGCCGCGGGCCACCAGGCTGGCGCCCCAGCTCGCGGATTGGAAAAGGCGGGGAACCAGGGAGGAGGTGGAGGAGGAGGTGGTGGAGGAGAAGGAGGAGGAGGAGGAGGAGGAGGAGGAGGAGGGAGGTGAATGAGGAGAGGAGGAGGAGACGGGAGGAGGAGGAGGAGGAGGACAGGAGGAGGAGGAGGAGGCGGAACAGGAGGAGGAGGAGGGGGAGGAAGAGGGGGGAAGGAGGAGGAGGAGGAGGAGGAGGAGGAGGAGGAGGAGGAGGAGGAGGAGGAGGAGGAGGAAGAGGAGGAGGAGGAGGAGGAGGAGGAGGAGGAGGAAAAGGAAGAGGCGGAGGAGGAGAAGGAGAAGGAAGAGGCACAGGAGCAGAAGGCGGGAGAGATAAGCGAGGGAGAGAGGAGGAGAGAGGTGGACGAGGAGGAGGAGGAGGAGGAGGAGGAGGAGGAGGGGGAGGAGGAGGAGGAGGAGGAGGGGGGAGGACGACGAGGATCCCTGTTTCGATGCGGCCAGTTGGCAACACGCGCACTCGCGCTCGCGCACTGGCGCTCCGCCATTTGGTGGCGTGGCAGGCGCGGCTCCCAGGGGGCCCCTACAACTGACTCGCATGAAGCGACACCCGGCCCCCCTGGGAGCGGGCACGCGCACCGGGCACTTGCCCCACTGCCAGCGCCCTTCTCGGGACTGCGTATGCCTGCCCTTTGCCCGGGGCTTCGGCGCCAACGCGCCCCACTTGGGTGCGCCTCAACCAGAACCAGAACCAGGAGGAGGAGGAGGAGGAGGAGGAGGAGGAGGAGGAAGAGGAGGAGGAGGAGGAGGGGGAGGAAGAGGGGGGAAGGAGGAGGGGGAGGAGGAAGAGGAGGAGGAGGAGGAGGAGGAGGAGGAGGAGGAAGAGGAGGAGGAGGAGAAGGAAGAGGCGGAGGAGGAGAAGGAGAAGGAAGAGGCGGAGGAGGAGAAGGCGGAGAGATAAGCGAGGGGAGAGGAGGGAGAGAGGTGGACGAGGAGGAGGAGGAGGAGGTACCTCCGTTAATAGTGACTTGCGCAGCCAGCGTGGACCAGGACTAGACCTTGCCAACCCTGGGCCCCCCCGACCACGAAGACGACCACGAAGAGCGCGACGAGCACCACGTGGCGGAGGTGGAGCAGCAGCATCAGCCTGATTGACTGATACATGGGCTCCCTCCCGTAGTTTCTCTCTCTGGCCAGTTTCGTTTCTCGACATCAGCTCCCGCGTGTTTTTTTTTGCGCTAGTAATTTCTTCCGGCGCCGATGTCCCAAGCGGGTTTAGGGCCCGCGCCGCTCATTTGGGCTACTGGGTCTGCTCTAGACAGGTTTGGCTCGCTTGAAAAGTGAAGGAAAAAACCATCGTCGAGTTAATCGACGCCGTCAGCGACAGATGCGATAGCATGTGTATACCATGTCTGAAAGTTGGTTCGACCACCTCCAGGACGAAGAGCACCTGGCCGCATAACACCCAGTTACAGCTAACGAAGACGAGAAGGAACACTAAGAACAGCAATCACACATTCAAAATTACTAGCTGCCACGCTTGGCATCGCCAGCACCGTGCGAAACACCACATTGGAATGTTTTGCCCAGCCGCCCAAATGCCCAAGCATGCCTTCAACCCGACGATCCAGGAGCCGGAGCCGCGCCAATAGCGCCCATGACCAGCCGACCACGGATCGTCCCGTGGCAGTCCCAGACTTCAGCGACGGGACGGGGCAGACACGAAGCGAGCCACGTCCCTCGGCGGCGCGGGCAGGGGCGAGTCGCCATGCCGAGCGGGGGGGGGGGGGGGCCGCATCATCCGCACGCGCAGCGCTCCCTCGCCCTCGGCACCGATAGACGAGGGCGGCGTCGCCGCCGTCGCCGTCGCCGTCGTCGCCGTCGTCGGCGTCGGCGTCGGCGTCGGCGTCGGCGTCGGCGTCGGCGTCGGCGTCGGCGCCGGCGCCGCCGTCGTCGTCGTCGTCGTCGTCGTCGTCGTCGTCGTCGTCGTCGTCATCCGTCGTCGTCGTCGTCGTCGTCGTCGTCGTCGTCGTCGTCCACTGTGCTCGCAGGCGGATGTGTCGGCCGCGGGGGGCCGGCGAGCGCCGCCGTTGCACCGCCCTCGGTGCCGCGTGGCGTGGCCGTTGTCGGCGCCCGAAGACGGGTTCCCTGCGCACGAGGCCCGCCGTGCGGAGCGACGCCTCGCTGCCGCTGCTGCCCTCTGCGGCAACACCACTGCCCCATTCGGCCCCGAGCGACGCCTCGCTGCCGCTGCTGCGCTCCGCGGCGGCACCACTGCCTCCTTCAGCACAAGCAGGGTCGATGACCCACCACGCGCGCGCCAGGAGAATGAGGCCGAGTGGGCATGCCGATCGTCCGTAGCAGGGCTAGGGACAGCGCCTCCGCCGCCTCCTTTTCCTTCTGCTCCTCCCTCGTCCTCCTTCCACTGGTGCTGATGGACGTTCAGAGGTTTTTGCACCGGGCCCCGATGGGCTACACTACCATGCATGGGGCGTCAGTTCTGTTCCTGAGTTCCTCTTGGCGGTCAAACGTTGGATCGCGGCTGGGAACATATGGACTCAGAGTTTACCGCGCTGTTGGCGGTCTTCCTCCGCAAGCCTCTTAAGGACCCTCTCGGCGAGCCCAGCGCAGGTAAGGTGTTTCGTCATCCTGGGGAAACGCGGCCCCACGTGTTCAAACACACAAGCAACAAGAACATTTGCGGGGTCCTCAACAGATGCATGTCGCCCGTGATCCAAGAGATTGGAGCTCGGACCCAGAACGGGTTCATCAAAGGCCGCAACTTCCTCAATAACGTGGTCGGGCTCGACCTCATTGGTCGGCAAGCCAGCATCACTGCTTATGAGTTTCCCAGTGAATCCCCGTCGCTGATTACCTTTGACTGTGCATAGCCTTACCTTCCAGTAAGTCAGGCATGGCTGTGTACGTGCATGAGATGTCTACGTATTCCTGCCCCTCTTCTGCGATCACTGGAGGTTCTCTACTTTGCACCTTGTGCTTCTACGGTGGTGGGCCATTGGTCTTCATCTAGTGTATGGTCTATGGGGTCTTACAAGGCTGTCCTCTCAGCGGACCCCTGTATGTTGTCACTGCTAACGCCTTCCTTCTGGACCTAGACGTCTGCTTAACGAGGTGCTCCCCCGCTTTGGGTCATACGAGAGCGTGTGCTGGTGTTCTGGGAGCCGTCATCCTTGGTAACCGTGGCTATCGCCGATTGGCTCGAGTGTTTTTCGGCTTTCTGCATAGTTCGCCGACCTGTACCCTGAACACAAGAAATGCTTCGTCATCCCGCTTGCTTGCCCGATGAGTGATGAGGCGCAGCGGCTGCTTCACTGCCTCTCTCGGTGTGCTCTTCCAGCATTTCGCAGGGACATATGCCATTGCCCCGTAGCCCCGGCTCGAATACAAGCACGTGCGCACGCCCGCTGCCATACTGCCTTGCAGTGTGCACACGGTTAGCACACAGTTGAAGGGAAAAGGACATGCACTTTGCTGTCTCTGAAAATACCACTGCCACCATGTTTTCCACCTTTCACCCGTGCCATCCGCAATTCTACTTTATGCTGCTGCTGCTGCTCCTCCTCTTCCCGAGGCACCTTCTGCGCCAGGCTGTCTGGCTGGAAGCGTCGCTCAGCGCGGAGCGGCCCCCGAGGCACGTCAGCACGAGCTTGAGCCTCGCATCCCTCGCAGGGCCAAGCAGCAGGCCAGAGGCCAAGCGGCGGCGCCGAGGAAAACATCGATTTCGAATACGCCGCAGCCGCACCGCCCCCTGCAGGAAACGGCAACATATCGGCCAGGCAGATCGGAACGGCCACAGCAGCAGGACGAGCCTGGACCTGATCTCGCTTCACGATGAACTCGGGAAGTGCATCACGGAGCGCACAAGGACTCAGGCCAGCGTGAAAGCTCGCATCACGAGCATCGTGTGCAGGCTACTGGCCCGCAAGCTGGTTTTGGATGTCGTACAGCTCCAAGAGCTGCACCATTGCCCGAGCACGATGGGCCAAGCGACGCGAGACCGCCAATGACACCGTGTCGGAAATGCGGTCGACGCCACCATGCGCCAATGCTATCAAACAGCGGGCGCGGAACTGTTCAGAAGAGCCGCAGCCCACCACGCAGGAAAGATTTCGAGCCACGCGGTGCGGTACGCAACCAAGGTTTCAGCCCCCAGACCAGACAGCAGCAGCAGCAGCAGCAGCAGCAGCAGCCATGCGTGGATAACGGAGGATCGGGGGTACGTCGAGGAGGGGTTGAGCCCAAGGTGGGATTCGGGAACCAACCAAGGGAGGGAGGGAGGGTGGGAAGGATGGAGGGAGGAGGAGGAGGAAGAGGAGGAGGAGAAGGAGGAGGGAGGTTGAGGGGGAGGAGGGGCAGGAGGAGCACGAACAGGGCCGCACTCCTGCGAAAACAAACAACGGCAGTAACATACAAATGCTCGGAGGTCCGCGCGGATTTTTTGGGTGGGTGCCGGACCACCCAGGCGGCGCCTCCTGCGCCTCCATTAGCGCGCTCCGATCGTGAAACCGCTGCTTCATCTCGTGAAGGAGTACGATCTTGCTCCTGGTCCTCCTGCTGCTCCCTTCTGATTCTGAAGCCACCGCATCAACTCGTGGGGAGGAGTGCGATTGGTTCCAGCTTGCAGCAGTTTCACGGACGGAGGGCGGGTGGTTTTACGGAAGGCGGGTGGTTTTCAAATGGCTAGCTTTTTTGCACCACGCACAATCGTCTTAGCAGTTTGCAGCAGCTTCAAGGATGGAGGGCGGGTTCCTTTCAAAATGTGGTTCTCGCCTTGGCGCCGCGAACATTCGTCTTAAACATTGGTAGCAGTTTCAAGGGTTCGTATGGTCGAAGTCCCAGGAAAGGTGTTCTGGCACGTTTTAGGAGTGTCAGGACGCAAGTGGTATGTTGATTCGCGGTGTTGAATTCCGAGAACTGGTGTTGTGGCACGATTCGGGATTGTCAGGTGGATCCGTGGCGTTGATGTCCCTAGAACGCTGCTTTGGCACGATTGAGGATTCTCATACGGTTGTCTTCTGATGGGCGACTTCCCGCAATGACCAGAACAGCTTTTTCAGGGGCCTCTTTACAGAGGGAACTTGGAGGGAGGTTTTATTGCATTATCGTTGATGCGTCTTGGGTTGACACTGGTACCTGGTACCCTTCTCCTCGTCTTTGTCCTTCTCGTCGTCGCCTTCCTAGTCCTCGTGCTCGTTGTCCTCGTTCTCCTTGTCCTCGTCCTGGTCAGCATTCTCCTTCTTAATTCCCTGCGCCCCTAAGGGGTGTTCTGGAATCGACATGTACTTCCAGACCCGGGACATGAGCCCCGCGCTGCAGGAGCGGGCTGCGGGGGCGGTGAGGCAGGGAGGCCAAGCGGGAGATGGTGACGACGACGATGATGATGTTGCTGCTACTGTTGCTGATGCAAATGATAGTTGGTGATGATGGTGATGCTGATGCTGATGCTGATGGTGATGATGATGCTGATGATGTTGCTGCTGCGGATGATGATGGTGGTTGGTGATAACTGATGCTTGAGGATGATGCTACTGATGCTGATGCCGATGATGATGATGATGATGATGGTGGTGATGATGATGATCATGATGACGATGACCCTGACGATGTCGATGACGATTACGATGACGATGACGATGACGATGATGGTTATGATATGATATGATGTAGAAATGATGATGGTGGTGGTGGTGGCGATGGCGATGATGATGATGCTGAGGCTGACGATGACGACGACGAGGATGATGATGCTGATGCTGACGATGACGACGAGGATGATGATGATGATTGTGGTGATGGTGGTGATGATGATGATGGTGGTGGTGGTGGAGGTGATGGTGATGATGGTGGTGGTGATGGTGATGGTGATGATGGTGGTGAGGGTTATGAGAATGATGATGATGTTGGTGATGATGATGAGGATGGTGATGATGATAATTGGTCATGATGGTGAGGATGATGATGATAAGTATGATGATGGTAATGATGGCGGTGGTGGTGGTGATGATAATGATGATGCTGATCATCTTGCTGATGATGATGATGATGATGATGATGATAGTGCCTGATGGTGATGATGATGAGTGGGGGTGATGTTACTGATGTTGATGCTGATGATCTGATGGTAATGATGCTGATCAGGATGACGACGACGATGACGATAGCGATGGCGATGATGATGAAGATGATGAGTATGAGGATGATGATGGTGATACTGATTTAGGTGTTGGTGGTGGTGATGGCGATGATGATGCTGTTGCTGACGATGACGACGACGATGATGCTGGTGGAGGTGGTGGTGATGATGATGGTGGTGTGGTGATGGTGATGGTGATGGTGATGGTGATGAGGGTGGTGATGGTGGTGCTGATGATGATGGTGATGATCATGAGGATTATGATGATTATGATGCTTATGATGATGCGTATAATGATGATGATGATGATGATGATGATGCTGATTACGATGACGATGATGACCATGACGATGATGATGTCGATGATGATAATGATGATGCTGATGGCGATGATGATGGTGATGATGCTGATGGTGATGATGATGATGATGGTGGTGGTGGTGGTGGTGGTGACGGTGATGCTGGTGGTGGTGATAATGGTGATGATGATGGCCATTCTGATGATGGCGATGATGATGATGATGATGATGATGAGTGGTGTTGGTGGTGGTGATGGTGATGATGGTGATGGTGTTGACGATCATGATGATGGTGATGATGATGATGGTGATGATGATGGTGATGGTGCTGGTGATGATGCTGATGATGATAATGGTGGTGACGGTGGTGATGATGGTGATGGTGCTGGTGATGTTTGGTTAAGATGCTTATGCTGATGATGATGATAGTGGTGACGATGATTATGATGATGCTGATTGTGATGATGACGATGACGAAGACGATGACGATGGTAATACGGATGACGACGATACTGGTGATGATGGTGATCGTGAAAGTGTTGGTGATGGTGTTTGTGATGTTGATGATGGTGGTGATTACAATGCCGATGACAATGACGATAATGATGTTGATGATGACGATGATGATGATGATGACCATGATGATGCTGATGATGATGAACATGATGACGACGATGATGATCATGATGATGGTGATGATGATTATGACCATATTGATGGTGATGATGATGATGGTGATGAGTTTGGTGGTTGTGATAACAATGATGACGATGTCGATGACGATGGCGATGACGATGATGATGACGATGGTGATGATGCTGATGGTGCTAATGATGATGATGATTATGATGATGATGGTGCTGATGACGATGATGACGATGGTGACGATGGTGATGGTGATGGTGATGATGATGATGATGATGACGATGACGATGACTATGATGTTTAGGATGATGATGCTGATGATGATGATGCTGATGACGACGATTACGATGATGATGACGACGATGATGATGATGATGGTAATGGTGGTTGTGGTGGTGGTGGTGATGATGTTGGTGGTGATGATGATGATGGTGGTGATGGTGATGGTAATGGTGTCGGTGATGATGATGCTGATGCTGATGCTGATGATGGTGGTGGTGGTGATTGTGGTGTTGGTTATGATAATGATGAGGATGTTGATGATGATGGTGATGATGGCGATGATGATGTTGTTGATGATGATGATGATGCTGATGATGCTGTTGTTGTTGATGAGGGTGATGGTGGTGGTGGTGGGGCGAGTTGTGATGATGATGATGATGACGATAATGATGATGATGATGGCGATGATGATGATGGTGGTGGTGGTGGTGGCGGTGATGATGATGATGCTGCTGATGATGATGATACCGATGATGGTGGTGGTGGTGATGATGATGTTGATGCGGCTGATGATGAAGAAGATGATGATGATGTTGATCATGATGATGATGATGCTGATGATGATGATGATGCAGATGATGATGATGATGATGATGATGATGATGCTGATGATGATGATGATGATGATGCTGATGGTGCTGCTGCTGCTGATGATGATGATGATGATCATGATCATGATCATGATCATGATCATGATGATGATGCTGATGCTGATGGTGGTGGTGGTGGTAGTGCTGCTGCTGCTGATGATGATGATGATGATTATCATGATCATGATCATGATCATGATGCTGATGCTGATGCTGATGGTGGTGGTGGTGGTGGTAGTGCTGCTGCTGCTGCTGCTGCTGCTGCTGCTGATGATGATGATGATGATGATGATGATGATGATGATGATGATGATGATGATGATAGGAGGAGGAGGAGGAGGAGGAGGAGGAGGAGGAGAGAGGAGGAGGAGGAGGAGGAGGAGGAGGAGTTGCATGCTGAGCCGTCTGAGGAGGAGGAGAAGGAGCAGCAGGAGCAGTCCAAAGGGGAGGAGGGAAGAGAAGGACCTGAACCCCAGACTGCAGGAGCGAGCCGCCCAGCGAGACGGCGTTCAAGGCGCCCCGGTGCAGTTCTGCCTCCAGGCTGGCGGCGGGGGGAGGAGGAGGAGGTGGGAGGAGGAGGAGGATGAGGATGAGACGAGGATGAGGAGGATGATGAGGAGGAGGACGAGGAGGAGGGAGGAGGAGGAGGAGGAGGAGGAGGAGGAGAAGAAGGAGGAGGCAGAATAGTAATAATAATAACAAGAAGACACATCTACAAATAGAGGAGGAGGAGGAGGAGGCGGGGGAGGAGGACGAGGAGGAGGAGGAGGAGGAGGAGGAGGAGGAGGGATAGTGAAAGGATGGATAAGAGGATGGGAGGAGGAAAAATAAAAGGTCAAGGGGGATGGGGCTGGCCAGGACATGTAGGCAGACATGTTGCAAAGGTGTGGAGTGTCTGAGGCAAGGTGTTGGAGGAAGGGCGAGGGCGAAACTGATGGGGAGATGAGGGGGAGGGCCAAGGAAGGAAGGGTATGGCAGGAGCAAAGAATTCGAATGGCTTTCGGCCCATCCCGCCACCGTGCCGAGGAGGAGGAGGAGGAGGAGGAGGAGGAGGAATAGGAGTAGGAGTAGGAGTGACCGTAGCCATATTCGCTCAAGTTCAAACACCACGCCCTGGGTGCTTGAACTTGCCCGCAGCCGAGGGGCAGGACCAAGTCCCCGCGCCTGGTCGACAGGCGACCTTTTCGGCAGCCAAGACGTTCCGAGCGGGGGCAAAGATCTGTCTTGCCCTCCACATCCTGTCGCCCCAAGCTCCAAGTCTTTTCCCAGCCCAGGCTCTCAGGCTCAGAGACGCCCCTCAAGATGGCGCAATGAGCAGCGACTTGGACATGCAAGTGCGGGCAGCAGAACTGGCTGAAGGTCACTAATTGCAGCGAGTGCAGCACGCATTGGAAAGCCTCAGCTGGACAGGAACCGTGTGGCAAGCCAGACAGACGACGCCAGAGGTCCAACAGCCAGAAAGCATCGATTCGAGGCCCTGGGAGGACGACGTAGAGGAGGAGATCAAGGAACCACCCTTCTACAGGGTGGCCACTCCAGCGGAGGCGCAGGCCAACCCCAACTACAAGCCTTTGTCTCCCAAGGCAGACGAGAGCGAGAAGAAGACGTAGTACAACAAGACGAGGTCCAAGCTCAATCTGACAGCAGACGTACAAGATCTCCTGGGCCATGAATGAACCAGTGCAGAACATCGTCGATCATATTGCAGTTCTACGCAGAATGTTGATCTCAGAAAAATCATTGGAGCAGCAGAGCGCATGGACAGATACTACCATTGTCAGGATGATGCTGATATTAGATGTCGCCAATAAAGTAGTGGGGATCCAGGAGAACATCCTGGACAGAAAAGTATCAATGACAGTCAACCTTCAGGATCAGTTTGAGGCACTGCGTCGCGCCGAGAACGAGATCCGTGCCATGATCCAAGAAGAGCAAGAACAATACACATACATAGCCCACGAGCAGGACCTGCGGATGGAGATCGAGACGAAGCGTGCTGTGCAGGAGGTATCGACACACTATGCGCTTCCAGAGCGACAGCAAGAAATTCAAAAACAGATAGCGTTCCACATCCAACCAGTGGTCCAGCAGATGCAGCAGATGCAACAGATGATGCAGCATATGCGCATATTCCAGCAGTCAATGATGCAGCACATGCCCCAGGCTGCGGCCACGGCGCCAACTTCGCCATGCCCCACGACGATTGCAGCATCATCTCCAGATGAGGTGTTGACCCCGACAGAGCCGTTCGAGCCCATGCCGATGTCCCAGTCTCAGGGGGGCGCAGCACCACTGTCAAGCCCAAGGAGAAACCCCATTATAGAAGAGAGGGCGGCCAGATACGAGTTCAGCTCGGACGGATCATACTCATTGGGAACAAGATCGGAACCCAGGAGGGGACCGACAACATCAAGGAGCCCGAGTGCGAGGCCACATCGACAGGTCAGAACGCCAACCTCGCAGAAGAAGCCGATGAACGACAAAACCAAGACGAAGAGCAGCGATCGGGCCATGGTGCCGTCCAGCATCCCTCGCCCCAGCATGATGAAGGACATTGTCGACCGCATGAGGGGTGCCAGCAACGGCCAGGCGGTCGACGTTACTGCCCCCAGCGACGAGGAAGCCAAGAACGCCATGCAGGACCCCCACGGCGAATGGAGGACGTTGTGAGCCCGGCATATGACGCAGCGCCTGATGTGGGTAGGCAGCGCATTCGTATATGTATACAGATTCTACCGAGACCCCGCCGCCAGTTTTTTTCAGCGCTAGCTCTGGCGACAGGCCAAAGCCGAGAGTCGCCTTCTGCGCGAAAGCCCCCATCCACTTTGTTGAGTCCCTCTACTCGCCTTCGCTTCCCCCCTCTCTCGATGTGGGTTGCGGCTTGTGGAGTTCTGACTCCGGGGGCGGTTTTGACCGCGATCGGGGCCCAGTCGTGCTCGACCTCGATTCCAGGGCCCCCATCGTCGCGCCCGTCGCGGACGACGAGCCCACTGCCGACGTCGCCTGTGTGCTCTAGGGGAAGAAAGAAGCTTACTCGCACGTCTTAGCACGGACGGCTGCCAGGTTGTCCTGGACGCGGAGGTCGACCGGACAGACTCCCAACCACGCGCAAAACTAGGACTTGACATGTGACCAGTTTGCCAGCATGTGCACGGCCACGTCACGGTTTTTGTTGACGGGTCTTTCGGCATCAAGAACCCGAGCGCTGCGGCCTGGGCGATGGCCGCCATTGCAAAGGACGTGGCAGGAGCCTTCTCTCTCTTGGGTGTTCAAACAGGGAAGTTGTAACATCCGTGGGGGATCCTCTCGGCGCAGCCGAGGTCAGCAGCACCTCTCTAGAGATGGGTGCCATTTTGTGGGCCCTTCTGTGGATGGGGTCCCAGCCGCACGGCGTCGCCTTGAGTGTCACCATCGAGTCTGACTCGGCCTCGGCCGTTCAGATTGCCGAGGGCGCGGCGATGTCGGAGGCCCATCCCGACTTCGGCGCCCTTCTGCCCTTCTGCAAGTTCTAGTTCAGGAGGAGCGAGCCAAACGCGGCCTCAATTTCAGGCATGTGCCATCCCACCGAGCTCACCCATGGAACGAGTTGGTTGATGGCCTTTCAAAGCGTGAGCGTGTTTCAACCAATTTGCAAGACCCAGACTGGGACAGTCGCTTGACCCCCGCGGTAGGCGATATCTGGTCTTGGGTTGAGCATGCTGATGATGACCGCCATGCGTGCCCCTTTGTCGGTTGCGAAGGGGGCCGGGCCAGTTTCGTCGCCCCCGTGAGGGCCCAAGAGACCTTCAGGCTTGAAAATGTCTTCCCAGCGGATGCCCTTGTTGGGGGCTCTGAGCCTCCTTCGACGCCGGCTGGAGATGTGTCCCTGATCGTGGCCTCGTCCAATGCCATGTCCACGGTCGAAGACCCGAGGATGGCCGAGAGGGGGCACTGTGCCAATCTTGTCAGGCTGCAACTCGCTGATCGCGGGGCTCTGGTGGTCGGGGTCCAAGAGGCTAGAACCCCTGCGGGGCCAAGAAATGCCGACGGGCATTTCGCTATGGCCTCGGGGGGTGAGGGGGGGAATTTTGGAGGTGAAGCGTTTACTACCCTACATGGTTCACAAAGGAAAAAATCGAGATTTCCAGAAGGGGCCATTCTTTGGTGGCGCACGCCGACTTGCGCAGGATAGCAGTGCGAATCCGAGCGCCAGGCCTACATTTCAACTTCGCGGTGCTGCGCGCGCCATGTCAGGATGACCAGAGTCAGACCATCGACGCTGGCGAAGTACAACGGTGGTGGGATGAGACCACTGCTATTGCACATTGGACGGGGGTAGACATCATTGTTGATGGTGCCAATTCTCGACTAGGGAGCGCCACGTCTAGTTCGGTGGGCTCGGGGGGTTGGGCCGAGACAGAATGCCCCAGGTGCTTGCTTGCGTCAGTTTCTGTGCGACATGAACCTCGTCGCGCCATCTACTTTTGAAGGCGTGTCGTGGGCGCGGCCCGATCACGAGGGAGGTTTCACGTTTGCCGAGAACGATGTGCACCGTCGGCTTGGCTACATGTTCGTCCGCCCTCAGCTGGTTCCTGTCATTTCTTACGAACAGGTTCTTGCTGACATTGATGATCTGATTGCCAGCGGTGATCACGCGCCATGCGTGCTCGGAACGACGTGGGAAATCCACGACGGCAGGAGCGACCGTGGCGAAGCTGGAGCAGGATCGGTCAATATTGGGCAACAAGCTAGAAGCGGACCTCACCCAAAGTTCTAGTCGGCATCTCACAGGAGATGCCGATTGGGTTGCCATTTTCAGGTGGATGCTCCGTGGCATCCCACTTGCTTCCTGGTCAGCCGATGTCAATCATCGCTGCAGTCTTGTCCGGGGGCAGATCCTGATTGCCGCCGCGGCGGCCTTCCCTGCCCGCGGGTCCCCTCCCAGGAAGCCTTTCACCGATGCTACCACCATGCGCGTGATCGGGTGGGGGAAGAAAACCAAGGACATGTTGAGGGCACCTCCCCAGACAGGAAGGCGCAGGCCTTCTTCAATGGGGCCGACACTTTGTTGTTCCAGGCTTTCAACGTTGAGGTGGGGCTCCTGATGCATGGCAAGGTTTCGAGGTTCAGATTTGGAAGCTCAAACTTTCCGCGCGGTCCTTCCTGGAGTCCTTCGATCTGGACGGATGGGTCGCCGCCCCGGTGGCCTTCCTTCGCGCCGTTGGGCGTTCTGAAGACCCGACAGCTGAGTGCACGAACATGGACAACAAACTCAGGATGCTTCAGTGACTGCGGCATCTTAGGCCGGCCCCAGGGCCTCCAAGGCGGCTCGCGACGTGCCCAAAGAGCCCCAGGACGGCCCCTTGAAGCCATCTAGTAGGACACGTGGGAGATATGGACTCCCAACAACGCTCAGTGGGCCTCTGGAAAAGTGACGCGCCACACCCCGGAAGATCCGCCACTTGGGGGTCGCAATCCTCCAAGCCGAGAGCCAGAAGGCAGCCGAGCACACTCCCCTCCATGCCTCGCGGCACGGTGGTGGATCACCATCATCGCCCGACTTGTCGTCTTCATAGCGGTGGATTTATCATCGTGGCCAGGACAGAACGACCACACGTGTCGTTACATCCATGAGTGTTATTGTTCATGCCACTACCGCTGCCCAGTCAAGCTCTTCAGCATCAACCTTGTCGATGCTTCGCGTAAGCCCACCAGCCTGCTCGCCGCCTGCGCTCTTTGCTTGCGGCCGCGACCAACAACAAGTAAACCCACCAGCCATCCAGAAACGATGCCCAGGCGAGTTGCCCTGATCATTGATGTGGAGGTACATGTAGTGGAATACAAGGGGTGGTGAACCCGTCATACCCCAAGAGGGGGAAGATAGAGGAGGAATCGGAGGAGGAGATACCGCCATGGCAAGCAGGTGCGCCGAGAGCGGGACTAGGACAGGCCAGAAATTGAGGCGAGACGAGCGAGTTCAGCACGAAGCCGAGAAGAGAAGGGGTAAGAGACGAAGCAAAAACCAGGCGAATTACCGAGCGTCATCAGAACTTAAGAGAGGGCGAGGCTCGCCCCTCCACTCCCCCGAGATTGGGTCCTTACCCTCCTTACCCAGCTCGAGGGCCCGAAAACGCGTAGCATCCTTGCTGGATGCAAGACCCGAACACTCACCCCTGAGCCGCGACCGAGGGGCCGACGGCTGGGCCCTGGCCCCGCAACGACGGCGGAATGAAAGGGTGGGCCCAGCAAGGATGACAACGCGACCCCTAGCGCTACCAGGCCCGACAGGGCCTCGAGCGGGGAGGGGGCATGTCCGGCGAAACGGCATCCCGAGCGACCCAGGACCCCCCCTGCCGCTGGCCCCGAGGGCCTCATCTCCCTCTTGGGGGGGGCGGCTCCCCCCGTGGGACTCCCGGGCCTCGTGGCAGGCCTGGGCAGGGCGGCGGGGGCAACCATCCACGGCGCTCTCCGGCACGGGCCCCCCGAGGCCCCCTCACCGCCACCCGCACCCTCCCCCGCACTCCTTGCCCGAGTCCTGCCGCGAGGCGAGAGAGGGCGCGGAGGCTACGTGGAGCCCTGCACCCGCGCGGCCTCTGCTATGGGCCTGCACGCGGCCTCGAGGTCTCGGTCACGTTGCTCGGCCTCGCTGCAAGACCTCACCCGTTCAAACGCCAGGAGCCGTGCAGGGACCACGAAGACCGAGGAAGGTGGCTCTGCAGGTTCGGGCTCCTGGGAACCCCCAACCTCGGCCACGGCGGGGCCACCACAAGCGGACGGGGAGGGGGTCAAGGCTCCAGCAGGCGCCAGGGGCACCTCGACGGGCGGCACAGCGGCCACGACCTTCGGAGACGAGCCAGGGCCCCACAGGGTCGCCGCCTCGGCCACTCTGCACGGAGGAGGACGTGGAGAATGTGGACGAGGAGGAGGAGGAGGAGGAGGAGGAGGAGGAGGAGGAGGAGGAGGATGCGGAGGCGGAGGCGGAGGCGGAGGAGGTAGAGGAGGCGGAGAGGCGGAGGAGGAGGAGAGGAGGAGGAGGAGGAGGAGGAGGAGAGACGGGCACCTCTCTTCTCCTTTCTTCCTCTTCTCTCCCGCAGGGGCCCCGCGCCGTCGCGCCCCCGGGGAGGGGGGGGGTCAGGCGCTGCGAGACGGCAAGTGGCGGGCCAGGGACATCGAGGCGAAGGGAGCGAGCAAGCAGCCCGCCCCGGCCCAGGCCCAAGGCGCGGCACCGCCGCCCTGTCGCCGTTCCCTTCTCTCAGCGAGGACGAGGAAAGGAGGAGGAGGAGAAGGAGGAGGAGGAGGAGGAGGAGGAGGGGGAGGGGAAGGAGGAGGAGGAGGAGGAGGAGGAGGAGGAGGACCAGCGCATCTGACTGAATGAGTTGGTGATTGTCGCTTTACTGGCTGCGGCTGCGGCTGCTGCTGCTGCTGCTGCTGCTGCTGCTGTTGCGTGAAACTCCAACTGACATCTGCGCCTCTCGAATAGGCTTATCAAGAGTGATGGGGGTAGCGAAAGCTACAGGGCCACGTTTCCCTTGTTTTGGATGTCGTCGCTCCTTGAGGCATCTGAGGGCTGCCTGCTTATTATTGCTTGAAGTGCGGCGGCGACTGGCTTTGTCAAAGCCTCTCGTCATGAAGTCTGAATACACGCCGCAATCCCAGCAAGCCATGACACAGCTCTCGTTATCGAGCCGATCAATTACATACGCCTTGTGGCCATTGCGCTGCTCTGAGAGACGAGAGAGAGGGACAGCACGGCAGCCTGCTGCCGTCACAGCACGCGTGCGGCACAGCTCGCACGTCCAAGACTTTGAAGACCCGGCCCGCTGGTGTGGCCGCCTCGGGGGTGGTCCCGGGGCGGCTCTCCGACCTCGGCCCCAGGGCCCGCGGGGGCGAGGCGGAGGCGGAGGAGGCGGAGGAGGAGGAGGAGGAGGAGGCGGAGGAGGAGGGGGAGGAGGAGGAGGAGGAGGAGGAGGAGTGGGAGGAGGAGGAGGAGGAGGAGGAGGAGGAGGAGGAGGAGGAGGAGGGAGGAGGAGGAGGAGGAGGAGGGGAGGAGGGGAGGCGGGGAGTGGGAGGAGGAGGAGCAGGAGGAGGAGGAGCAGGAGGAGGAGGAGGAGGAGTGGGGGCAACTAAGGCGGCCCCCACACGGGGCTGCACGGCAGGCTTCGGCACTGGTTTCCCACAGGCTTTGCCTCCAGGGCGGTGGGCTATCGTGGGCCAGTTGGGCGTCCCTTGGGCCAGAAAGCGCTGGAACCGACCTATGAACTCGCTAGATTGCTTATACTCTGCTGCTTCTACTTCGGACGGCCCTCGCCTCTCTTGAACCGCAGCTTTGGCGAGCCTGTCGGCGATGTCATGTCCCGTGGCCATGAATCGCCCTCGGGATCCAGGGGGGGAGGGCGTCCACATTCTGGTGGGCTTTTGCTTTACAGAGTCGGGGCAGGGTTCCCTCGGACTGCAGACTCTTTGCACACAGCTCCAAGCCAGTATACATTCGAAGAAGACATAGCGCCATAAACGTAAACTTTTGGCGCTCCGCGCGGATGTCTTGGATCCGCGCTGGGCCCCCCGGGGGCGCCTCTGGCGCCGCCCCTGGCGCGCTCCGCGCGCAAGGGAGAGGGAAGAGAAGAGCATGCTACGCATGGAATGAATTCAATGAACATCAATTGCAGTGGATCCTTGAGTGGATCAATCTAGATTGATGAGGCTATGATGCCTCTTTCGATTCTGAGTCGGCTATGATGCCCGCTCGTGCCCAGCCCGTCCCGTCTTCAGGGACTTCGCATCCCCTTATGATGGTAAGATGGGAAGGCGGGCCGCCGCCCCTGGCACTGCACGTACGGTGCCAGGTTTGTGGGGATTTGGTTCGACCCCCGCAGTTCCAAAGATAGAAACTGCGAGGGGTGTGAGGCCTCATGGTGGTCCTCACTGGCAAGGCCTATGATGGACCTCGCCGTGGGGGGAGAGGGCAAGGGCGGACGTCCACCAACAACGTCCGTCGTGTTCATCCTCCGTGAAATGCACTGTGACCACATTCATGAATCAGAAGACCGTGACATTCACGAGCACGACCCGACCTATGATTGCGGACTCCGTGAAACGCACCGTGACCACGCTCATGACCACGAAATTCTAAAGCACGACCGGACCTACGATTGCGGACTCCGTGACATGCACTGTGATCGCGCTCATGATCACGAAGACCGTGAAACACACGAGCACGACCCGACCTAAGATTGCGGACTCCGTGAAATGCCCTGTGACCACACTCATGAACAAGAAGACCGTGACATTCACGAGCACGACCCGACCTGCGTTTGCGGACTCCCTGAAAAGCACCGTGAACACACCCATGATCACGGAAACCGTGAACTTGACGAGCACGACCCGATCGAGGCCGAGGTGCTGCCCGCACTGCCTGTATCGCGGCTCCGATGGGGTGGAGACCAGGAGGATGAGGAGGAGAAGGAGGAGGAGGAGGAGGAGGAGGACGACGACGACGAAAAAGTTGAGTTCAATGAACAAGTTGAGCGCGAAGGCCTATGATGGTCCTTCTTCCCAAACAAACCTTGCTGATGGCCCCGAATTGGGTGCGAGGTGCCTATGATGGCCGCTCTGGTTGCCTAGGATGGCGGCACTAGACGACTGGCAGGGGACTGGGTCCTGTTCACGGTCCATTAGGGGAGAGCATGCTGCGCATGGAATTAGTTCAATGAAAATCAATTGCAGTGGATCCGTGAGTGGATCAATTTAGATTGGTGAGGCTATGATACCTCTTTCGATTTTGAGCCGGCTATGATGCCCGCTCGTGCCCAGCCCGTCCCGTCTTCAGGGACTTCGCATCCCCTTATGATGGTAAGATGGGAAGACGGGCCGCCGCCCCTGGCACTGCACGTACGGTGCCAGGTGTGTGGGGATTTGGTTCGACCCCCGCAGTTCCAATGATGGAAACTGCGAGGGGTGTGAGGCCTCATGGTGGTCCTCACTGGCAAGGCCTATGATGGTCCTCGCCGGGGGTGGAGAGGGGCGCCAAAAGCTTTGGTGTATGCCGTTGTTCTGCTTCTATATATTTGATTCTATCCGAAGCCAGCCTGGGAGTAGGTCCTGCGGGTCCCGAGGTGGTCTCCATGCACAGAGTGTATCCCTGGCCAGAGATGGGCAACACACACGCGGCGAGATGTTCGGCAGTGGGGGAGGCTGGCGGCAGCAGCCGTCGCGTTTGGCCCGAGAGGTATGCCACGCAGTCTCCTGCTGCGTCGAGCACGCAGGCGGCCCAGCCTGTCTGTCTCCAGTGCTGCGGGCCGTGCTCGAAAAGCAACCATCCACGAAC